TTCTGGGCTCAGTGATCCTTTCACCTCAGCCTCCCAAGTAGCTGGAACTGCAGGCAATTTTTTTTTATTTATTTATTTTGGGGGGAGGTAGAGATGAGATCTTGTTGTGTTGACTCGGCTTGTCTCAAACTCCAGGGCTCAAGGGATCCTCCCACCTTGGCTTCCCAAAGTTCTGGGATCACATGTGTGAGCCAAGGTGCCAATCCTCTTGTTATTTTTTTTTAAGCTTCTCTTCATGAAGTTTTGATTTAGATACTTTAGGTATCAGAGATAACCTATTTTCAAAACGTATATACATCTACCATAGTCCTTATCATAATTTGCCCAAGTTTTTAATTTAGTGTGCCACCATTGCCCAAACTTCAAGCATTTTGGAGAGATGCAATTTTATTCTATTCTTAATTTTCTTGTCCTGTGTCAGTCCCTGGTACACATTAAGTTCTTCCATGAAATAAGTGAAATAAGGGGAGTAAGAATGGGGATGTGAATGGATTCTAGTCACAGCTGGCTTAAGAATTTGCTACAATCTCTTACATAATCATAAAACTTCTATGAGCCTTCATTTTTCCATTTATAAAATGAGTAATAACTTTTTCAAGGGATAGATTTGGAACCAATATATAGAAACTATGAAGAAATTTTTAGCTCATTACAAAAGAAAAAAAAACCACATAAATCTCTAATAATTAAGTTTCACAAAAGCAGTGCTTGTCTGCTTCTAAAAAACAGAAATCTTGACCAATGAAGGACAGCAAACATAGGCTTAATGAGCATTTGGTGAGAAAATTAAGCACTGAAAAAAATAATTGAAAAGCAGGAAGGATGGTTAGAGTAAAAGTTCTTTTTAATCTAAGATTTAGTGAAGCCCAACTTTTCTTCCTTGGGATTATCATGGCATTTCAAGGTTCATGTACAGCATGATGAGATGCAGAACATGCTACCCTAAACCATGGCACCTTGAAAATTGAGAATACCTCAAAAGACAAAAAGTATTTTTGAACTTCTCCCACTACATCTCTTTTGGAGATCCTCATTTGGCAGGTGTCTGGCCTATACTCAGAGGAAAGGAATATTGTAAAGAGAGGCCAAAAAAGAATCTGAAAACGCAGGCCTTGGTGAGTTCTCTCCCAGTTTATTACCTTTTATGTCATATCCCCTTTCTTTTTCTTACCAATCTTACTTGACATGACTTCTCTCTTCATCAAATCTGAGCACAAAAATACACAGTTCTCCACAGGTCTTTGTGTCTTCATTTTGGAAAGTTCTCATGTCATGTAAAGCTTTTATTTAACAAAAGAACTATGTTTATCTATTGTTACTGTGTCCCTATCTTTGGTTATAGCGCTGACAGCCATGATCCTTGCAATGGACAAAGAAAATATATTACTTGTTCTTTCCTACAAGCACAAACATGAAACACATTGAGACTTGGCCTCCAATATTGCCACCAAGAGGACAGTCATTTCATTTCTCTGTGTAATGCTTTATGCAAATTCTAGGTGGTGACATTAATAATAGCTTTTCTATCTACCTCCTGGGTTTGTTGTAAGGAGAGGAGATATGTTGAAATATAACATATGTTGGAAATTAATAGTACCAAAAAGAAAACAGGTAATATTATTAAAAATATTTCAATGTGGTTGTCTCCTGTTCCCTAAAAGAACATAAGTTCTGCTAAATCAACTGAATAGACCACCTCCTGCATGTAAGGGTTTAATAATAGTTTGGAAGCCAACACATTACCATCTGTTTAGCCTGATGTACTCCTGACTATGTTTGGCTGTATTTGAGACTAGGATTAAAAAATATTTAAAGGTATGCAAATTTAATAGCTTTATCATTTTGTGTGTTTGCAAGTTTCTTGATATTACCAAAGCATACACTCTCAGACTTAGATTTATCTTTCATCACTCGCCACTTCACCCACAAACAAGTAGTATTATTTATCTCCAGCCATACTGAACTAACAATTGCTCCATTACTAAGCCATATTGATCACCTATTGCCACAATAATGCCTCAAGACCAACCACTTCAAACTCAGGGGCGTAAAATGACTAGTATTCATGATTTCTCTAGCTCACAAGTTTGGATGATGTGTGGGGCAGATCTTTGTTACTTTCTTTGAGCTGTGTTTAGGTTACCTTTTCAAGTTTTCTCATTCTCCGGGTACCAAGGGCGACCTGCAACATTTTCTTCTCTTGGGGAGTGGCAGAAGTACATTTAGTACCCCCAAAGACTTTGGCCCAATACCAGCAGATTGTCTAATCTGCCTGCACTCTATTGACCTAAGCAATGACAAGGCCAAGCCTATATCAATGGGGAAGATAAATATACTGGCTATTCGCCATTACATTAGCATCATGTTGGGACCAGCGAGTCTGAATGACCATTCAACAGATGAAGGATTTCACTTTCTACCAAAGTGTAATTCTAGTTGAGAATTTCCAGTCTTGCAGCTTTTCCCAAAACGGTTTCCCAAAACAGTCTTTTTTGGTTTGAGGATTACAGTGGTGATAAACTCCCTACTATACTGAGTGGAATTTAACCTACTCAGTGCTCCAAGTAGGCCTCTAGTTCTGAAAAACAAGTAGACTTCCCCTTAGATAAAACAGCCCTATCAAATAACTGAAATAACTTTTTCCATTCTAAATATTACCAAAGGCTTTAACAGTCTCCTCCCAATAGGCCCACTGTCCAAACGTCCCTGGAAACAAGTGAGTTTGTTAATATACAGATATCAAATAGCCTTTATATAACTCATAAATATAGAAATAGAATGCCTATTCCTCATGGCTCACACACTATCAATATTCCAATTAATGCAGTGTTTTTTATTTTTGTGTGTGTGTTTTAGGGTTTTTTTTGAGTTGGAGTCTTACTCCATAGACCATGTTCACGGCCACCCCAACGTCGACCTGCTGGGCTCAGGCAATCCGTCTGCCTTAGCCTCCCAAGTAACTGAAACTACAGGCGTGCACTACCACACATGGCTAATTTTTTATTTATTGTAGAGATGAGGTCTCACCATGCTGCCCAGTCTGGTCTCAAATCTGTGGGCTCAGGCAAAACAAAATGTTTTTAAATTATTCAAATCTTTAAGTACAATGGAAATTATATAATGAAGACCTGAGTATACATCACCTAGTTCTTCAACTATTAGTAATTTCTTATATTCAACTAGAACTTTAATAAAACATACATCATTATACATACAGGTGAAGTCTACTTTGTATCTTTCTTTTTCCCAATTTCTCCTCTTTGCCCACAAGAGGTAACCACCAAAATATACATTTTATAAAAAATTATCACATTCTAACCCACAAAGCAAAAGTCTACGTACATCAAATAATCAATCACTACAAACCACATTCCTTGCAATTAGACTAGAAACCAATTAAAATACATAAACAACATGTGTATGTGAAAAGAACCCTTACTCATATTGATGACAGCATTACATTTAAGTCAAATGTGTTTTTGAAGTTTCTCCAATTCTACTAACTTTTGATTCAATACTTACTCACCAAAGAGCATTAAAACTCTCTACTGTATATAATTTTATATTTATAAAATGTTTTATTTTCAGCTCTGTCCATTTGACCAGATTATTACAGATTATAATTTTAAAATAGTTTTGATAGTGTTTTTCATTACAAATTAGCACTTATATATACTTTAATAATACTTTGTGCACAAATTCTATTTTGCTTGATTTGCCTCCCTTTGGTTTGGTTACATTTTACTACTTTTAAAAAATTCTTTGATTTTCCATCTTTCTGTACTTTTATCTGTCTTTTAAATGTTATTATAGCCGGGCTCCGTGGCTCAGCCTGTAATCCCGCACCTTTGGGAGGCTGAGGTGAGTGGATTGCCTGAGTCCGCGGGTTCGAGACTCACCTGGGCAGTGAGACCTCATCTCTACAATAAATAAAAAAATCAGCCGGGCATGGTAACGCATGCCTGTAATTCCGGCTACTTGGAAGGCTGAGGCAGAAGGATTGCCGGAGCCCAGCAGGCGAGGCTGTGGTGGCCGGGAGCGGCCACTGCACTCCAGTCTGGGTGACAGAGTGAGACTCCAATTAAAAAATAAAATAAAATAAAATAATAAAAATAAATGTTATTATATTATGAAATATGACAATGACAATACTAGCTTATTCTGAAAGAGATTCATTTCAATTTATTTTAATTTCTGGTATTTTTATATGTATGTATTATATTATACATCCTCTTTACCTTGTTTTTTCTTTCTTTTCTGTTTCATATTGTATTAACAACATTTTGTCTATTCTTCCATTTCCCTTTTGTTTGTTTTTAAGTTATATGGAGCTTGTCCAGCATTTAATATATATATTTATATTTATAATAATATTATTTTTAAAATTTGATGTTAAAAAAACACCTATCCTCCTTCTAAATACAGCAAGGATTTTGAGATCTTTTGATGCTGTATATTTTCTCACAATTTACTTATAATTGTGGTGTAGTATTTTAGTTTTATCTTTATTTGTATAGCATAATCTTTTTTCTCCTCCTTTTCAACTAGTTTGCAAACTAATATATTAGGTAATGTTAAATCCTGATTCTGTCATATTCCATCAAATTGTCTCCTTAGTCTTGGTTCCATGAACATATTTGGTAAGCAGACCTTTCTTTTATATATTCTTCTAAAATTCTATAATAAAAATCATTATCAAAATAGAATATAGAGTATAAAATAGAATATGGAACAGAGTTATGAGAGAGAATAATACACTATTTTATTAATTTAATAATTTTATTGGCTAAATTACATGTATAATTTTATATTCAGAAAATTGAAAACATTTTGAAAAATTGTGGTTGGTGAGTAATGGATAACATTTTTAAGCCAATTCTCTTTCAATTTAATTCCCGATTGCTATCACAAATCTGTTCTTACTCATTTGTGTTAAATCTATTTGAGGTTTAAACATAAAATGGTCTCAGAGATTTGAAAGACTTAAGAAAATCACCTACCTGGCCAGCAGTGTCCAAAATGTCCAAATACGCTGGCTCATTGTCAATCCTGACCTGGGTCTTATAAGCATCTTCTGCAAAACACAAGACAGAGTTTACATGTAAATATTTCAATTTAAAAAATGCATGGTTATTTTTTAGATTTCATAACAAACTGGAATTTTTAAGTACACTTCTAAGTAAGAGATCAGATATGTTTCTCAATTAGCAAGTACATGTTGAAAAGATGTGTAACCTAGGAAAATATAGAAAAATGAGTTTCTGCTTAAAGTGAAGCCAATATATAGCTCTTTCATCAGGAGAATTTTATGTTTGGAGTGACTCAAATGATGTTAACTAGATAACAGCCCATGGAACAAATATATCTATTATTTCCTAACAATGCACAATAAGACTGCATTCTAACATTATAATGGTAAAAGACTGAAAGCTTTTCTTGGAAGATCAGCAACAAGACAAAGCAGTCTGTCCCCGCTTCTTTTATTTAACATAGTACAAGAAGTCATAATCAAAAAAATTAGGTAAATAAATAAATAAATAAATACATCACCCGAATTGGAAAAGGATTAAAACTATTTCTGTTCAAAGACAACATGATTCTGTATTTAGAAATTTTAAACATTCTGCAAACACACACGTATAACACCTAAATGAATTCAGTAAAGTTTCAGGGTATAAAATAAATAAGCAAAAATCAAAAATGTTTCCATACACTAACAATAAACGAGACAAAAAGAAAATTTAAAAATCAATTCCATTTACGACAGCATCAAAAAAAAAAAAAAATACTTAGTAGTAAACTTAACCAAGGATGTGAAGACTTGTCCCTTGAAAACTATAGAATGTAGTTGAGAGAAATTAAAGCATACATAAATAAGCGGAAAGAGATTCTGTGTTTATGGATTGAAAGACAATATTGTTAAGATGTTAAAACTGTCCCAAACAGTCTACAGATATAATGCAATCCCTATCAAAACCTTCACTTTGTTGAATGTAGTCATTTTTTAAAAAGCCATTCAAAAGAACCCCAATAGCCAAAACAATTTTGGAAAAAAACAAGCAAACAAGGCTTGAGGTTTTTATAGTTCATGATTTCAAAATTTATTTCACACTTTAATAATAAAAACACTGTGGGACTGACATAAAAACAGACATATAGACCACTGAAATAGAACAGAAATTGTAGAAATAAACCTTTGCATATATGTTCAAGTGATTTTCAGCAAACATGCTAAGACCTATTAATGTGGAAAGAGCAGTCTTTTTGCAAATGTCACTGGAATAACTGAATATCCACATGCAAAAGAATGAAGTTGGATGCTCACCTTACACCATATAAAAAAATTAACTCTACATGGATCAAAGACCTAAACATAAGAGCTAAAACTGTAAAATTCTTAGAAGAAAGCATAGGGAAAAGCTTTATCATGTTGGATTTGGCAATGATTTCTTAGATGTGAGGCCAAAAGCACAGGCAACAAAAGTAAAAATAGAAAAATTGGACTACATTTTTTAAAAAAAGAAAACGTTCTGGGCAATAAAAGACACAATCAACAGAGTGAAAAGGCAACTCATAGAATATGAGAAAACATTGGCAAGTCATACATCTAGTAAGGCAAGTCATACATCTTATAAGGGGCTAGTATCCAGGATTTAAAAAAAAAACGTACAAAAAAAAGTGTACAATTCAACAACAAACAAGCAGAGTACTTAAATAGGCTCAATAAATACATGAAAAGATGCTCAATCTCACCAATCATTATGGAAATGTAGATTAAAGCCACAATAAGATACCACTTCTCACCCATAAAGATAGTATTTTTTTTTTTTAGGAAGCGTGGGCGTGGTGGCTCAAACCTGTATTCCCAAGCACTTTGGGAGAACAATGAGGGACTGCTTGAGCCCAAGAATTTGAAACCAGCTTAGGCCACATAGCCAGATCTTATTTCTAAAAATAAAAAATTTAAATTTAGTCAGACATGGTGGCATACACCTATAGTCCCAGCTACTCAGGGGACTGAGGCAAAAGGATCACCTGAGCCTGGTAAGTCCAAACTGCAGCGAGCCATCATAGTGGTACTCCAGCCTGAGGACAGAGCAAGACCCTGACTAGAACAAAATAAATAAAGACAGAGAGAGGGAGGGAGAGAGGAGAGGAAGGGAGGGAAAAAGGAAGAAGTGTTGTTGAGAATGTGAAGAAATTAGAACTGTTGTGCAGTGTTCGTGAGAATTTGAAGTGGTGCAGTTTCTATGAATAGCAGTATGGTTGATAATTGTTAACTGAGTAATTAACCTCAAATAACTAAAAATGAAATTATCATATGATCCAACAATCCCACTTCTGGGTATATGTCCAAAGGAATTAAAAGTAAAGTCTAGGAGACGGGGCAAGATGGCGACGGCATAGGTGAACTGGTGAGATTCTCTGAACGTGAGTTCCCAAAAAGGCTATCACTTCGCTACCCCCATCCCCCAGCCCACCACCAACCGCGCTGGGGGCAGGCCCGGGAACTTCAGTCCCACGCAAGGCCAGATATTGCGCCCCTCCCCCCACTGCTGCCGTTCTACTCGTGTGTGGAAGTCTCCGGCCCCAGCCCCCTCCAGATCCCTCCCCGGCTGCATTGTCTCCAGCCCGGGCACCCGGCATCAAGCCGCCGGTCACACAGGGAGGCTCTGGGCACCCGCCCCTCAGAGACGCTGGTTCCATTTCTGGCTGAAGTCCTCTGTTGGGTCCCAGCGCCACTCTCGCTGTCTAGAGCCTGCCCTTTGGAACTTTGGAGCTCTGGAACTCCAGGTCCACCCTGGCTGAGGCACTCAGCGTGAGACCCCAAACCAGAGGACCCAGACAAGCGGAGAAAAACAGATCTGCTTAAACTGCCTTGCCATTCTCCAGGCAGAGACTTCCATTGCCCTGCCCACCTATCAACAAACTTTACCTCATTTCCTAAGGCCAGGTATTGCAGCGTGCGGGGAAGTTTTGGGTCCCTGCTCCCTCCAGCTCTCTCCCCGGCCCGGCACCCGGCACCGCAGGTCGCACAGGGAGGCTCTGAGCGCCCGCCCCTCAGAGACACCGGTTCCATTACTGGCTGAATACTCTGTAGGGACCCAGTGCCACTCTCGTCATTTACAGCCTGCCTTTTGGAACTTTGGAGCTCTGGAACTCCGGGTCTACTCTGGCTGAGGCACACAGCGTGAGACCCCAAGCCAGAGGACCCAGACAAGCGGAGAAAAACAGACCTGCTTAAACTGCCTTGCCATTCTCCAGGCAGAGACTCCCATTGCCCCGCCCACCTAGCAACAAACTTAACTCAGCTCCTAAGGCAACAGTGTGAAACAGGAGACAAAGCCCCACCCCTATGCTGCAACGAAAAACAAAAGGGAGAGGCTGGAATCGGAGATCACAGAAGTGACTCTAGTCTGATCGCTTATTTTGACCTATGATTTTATCATTGAAACTGTTGGTCTAGATTACGTTTGGTGTTTACCTTCTGACTTATACTGTTTCTTGATTTTTTTGGCCTGTCTCTGTTTAGCTATCAGTATTCCTTAGGGAATCTTTCTTACCTGTCTTTTTTCACTTCTTCCCAGCCCTGTGTCTCTCTCTCACCTGATAGTTGGTATGTATATCTGTTTTCCCTCTTGCACTTCTCCCTTTCGCTTATTTTGACTTATGATTTTATCATTGTAACTGTTAGTTTAGATCACGTCTGTTGTTGACCTTCTGACCTACACTGTCTCTCGATTTTATTGACCCGTGTCTGTGTAGCTATCAGTACTCCTTAGGCAATCTTTCTTACGTGTCTTTCTTCACTTCTTCCCGATCCTGTGACTGTTTTTCACCTGATAGCTGGTATGTATATCTGTTATCCCTCTCGCACTTCTCTCTTTCGCTCATTTTGACTTATGATTTTATCATTGTAACTGTTGGTTTAGATCACGTTTGTTGTTTACCTTCTGACTTACACTGTTTCTCAATTTTATTGCCCTGTCTCTGTGTTCCTTAAGTACTCTTTAGTACTATGTAGCTATCAGTACTCTTTCTTACGTGTCTTTCTTCACCTCTTCCCAGCCCTGTGTCTCGTTCTCACCTGATAGATGGTATGTATATCTGTTTTCCCTCTCGCGCTTCTCTCTTTCTAACTCCCTATTGACCCCCCTTCCTCCATTATTTTCCTCTTCTATATGCCCCCTTTTTAAATCTAGGGACCAAGACTGCAAACTGCTGAATAGACAGACTGTAAAGCAGAGGGAAAAGTGAACAAAACCAGAAGACCCTCATAAGGAAGAACAGGTCATTGCAGAAGAGAAATAAAAACAACCCCACCTTCCCTCAAAAACAGAATTGAAGAGGGGGAGGGAAAGGGGGAAAGGGAGAAAAATCTACAGAAATGAAGAAAAACCAAAAGAAGAGTATGGGTCTCTCCCAGACGCCTGGGAGAGCAGACACTGAGAAAATTGACTTTGGAATACAAACAATGAAAAGTCCCCAGAATGAAGGGTCTCAAATGCAAATGCAGATATCAAAACAATAATGGAAAGACTAAAAAGAATTGAGGAGACACAAGAAGAAACTAGGAAGGAGTTGATATATGAGATAACAGTAATAAAGAATACTGTGAATGAAATAACAAATTGATAAGCATGGAAAGCAGAATTACCCAAGCAGAAGAAAGAATCTCAGAGCTTGAGGACCAAAATGTAGAAATAACCCAAACTCTTAAAAACACAGAAAATAAGCTAAAAAAGACAGAACAAAACCTTCAAGAGATGAGTGACTACCTCAAGAGGCCTAACCTAAGAATAATCGGACTCCCTGAGGCAGAAAGAGAAACAGAGACCACATTGGAACAAACTTTCCACGAGATCATTCAAGAAAATTTCCCTTATCTAATCAGTGATACAAAAATTCAAACACAAGAGATTCAGAGAACCCCCGCAAGACAACAAATGAGAAGACCAACTCCTAGACACATAATAATTCGCCTAAATAAAGTAGGCACAAAAGAAAAAATCCTAAAGGCAGCAAGAGAAAAAGGCCAGATCACCCACCATGGAAGACCAATCAGAATAGCAG